AGGATACAGGAGCACTTTGCTGGAACAGGAAGGTTTGACACGCACAGTGGGAGCCCTAGTGCAGGTGAGAGGTTGGCAGGGTAAGAGAGAACAGGGAAAGGGAATATCTCCCTGCAGAGAAGTAAACACTAGGATTTCTAGATTAGCTGAGGCAGTTCTTCTAAAAGAAATTCCGTAATACACAGAGTTTATAGAATCTCTAAAATTGTTGTTTTCAGATAAATTGAGATTCATTCACGAGATTAATTACTCTGCAAAGTTCCATGCTATTTTTCCACAGCTAGTTGTGTTTCATATGCAGCAGGCAGCTGTGGCTGATGCTCTGCACCCTGCAAAACACAGTAGCAGTGTTTTGGTGGGTTTGGCTCTGGACCCCTCCTCCTCTCTGGGTTTTTGGTATCACACATACCAGGGCTCAAAGGCCACACTCAGCTGATACACCTTCTGGTTTTTGTGCCAGACAATGGATTTTTAAAATACATACTTTTCAAATTTAATTAGAAGATATGTTCCAGTGTCTGAATAGTGTTTGTTATGTTTTTTATATCATCCTTGTTCCAAATACTCGTAGATTTTCCTGAATATTTGTGTCTGTGTCAAATGTGTCTTTCACTTTGTCTGGAACATTGTGGCTAAGTATCTGCCCAAAGCTTAGTTAAGTTGGCTTTGATCTAAATATTCATTCAGATACTTATATTTCATAATATATTTTCATTCTTGAACCTGTTTTTGGCAATACCTTTGTTGATAACTCTCACAAGAGCTGTCAGTTCACTCGGGATCCGTAGCTTTTCCTCTGGTTGTGCTTTGCAGTGTGGCTCTGCAGAGCAGCACCTCCTGTCTCGCAGTGTTGTACAGTTTTCTCAGTAGGATTTGCTCCTATTGGGAGAACACTAGGATGTTTATAATTAATCAACACAGACTCAGCTCAGGCAGTTATTTTAAAAGCAGGAGACATTAACATTTTGAAAATTCCTACTGGTTTTAACATTTTGAGTATGTTTTAATCAGCTATTTGTATTAAAAGAGCTTGGTTGTGTGGACATGGGTGTTGAGCCAAAGATGCATCCATTGATAAGCATATAAGGCTCCCACTGGAAATGAGAATTTTTGCAAAGGGAGAGGAGATCTCTTTGTGTGGTAGATATTACATGTGGGTCCATAGGACTGACATCTTGCACTCTGCTTTGATTCTGAGGTCCATCAGACGATGTCCCTAGGGCAAAACAGGCACTGAGGTTGAGATTTTCGGTTGAGCTGACTTTGACCTGGGTGGAAGCTTTCAATAAAACACTCTGCAGAATGGTGGAATTGTTACCCTTCCTTTGGTGCTGTAGGTACAGCAGCACACGCGATAGTTGTGCTACATGTTTGAAGCTATTGCAGTGACAGTGGAAATTATTCCTTTTTGATAAATGGATGCTTTCTTCCCATTTTATATTGCTTTTGTGGCTTGATTGATGTTTTGCCGTGTGATGACTACGATTTGTGCTGTCTGATAAATCATGTACTGTAAAGAAATGCAATATGTGCTAGATCTTTGGAAGTTAACAAGTAACCCTTTTCTTTTCTCCTGCAATGTGTTTCGCTGCAATGTGCATCCCATTCCTCCTCCTTCTGTCTTAACTGTTGTCTGCCAGTGCTTGGGTACAGAGATAAATGTTTCACTCATTCAAATTCCAAATCAGCACCTAAGGAGAGAGCCCATCAAGGTACTGTATTCTGTGTCCTGAAAGCATGTTCTTTTCTGCCATCTTCATAACTGCTACAGTGTCTTAATGCATTCCAAAGTGATACTGACAGAAAGCCTTGATTCTGCATTCTCCAACTTTGGGGGGTTTTGGGTTCAGTGTCATGGTTTGGTTTTGTTTTGGAGTTTTTTGGCCTTTGAATGTATGATGCAGAGACAGGGACCCAACATAAAGTGATATGTAGGAAATTTTCTGTGTGAAAGTTTTAAACAGCAAACAATTAATTCTGAAAAAGAGTATTTAGTATTCCTACTGCTGTAGTAAAATAGCTGAGAATTGCTGTTACCTAGTCCATGAACTTTCACTCCAAAATTGTTGTCGATGTTAGTGAACAGGGAGGAATTGATTTCTGCCAAATTAGGAAGCTGTAACAATATGGGATATGCCAAATAATGAAAGCTAGATACTGCCAACAAAAAATAAGCTGCTAGGCAAACTTAGACTAGGAAGATAATTGTGCCTTCGAATCAGTGCTATCCATCGCTGGTAAACATGTCCATCTGCATGTATTGTCAGCAGTTTTGTGCTCTGGGTGTGCTGGAGGTGCTGCAAACGTCCCTGTGTGTCTGTGTGTCACCTCTGGGGACAGCAGTCCGGGCTGGAGTGAGCATTTTGCACAGCAGACGAGCAGGAAATTGCTGCTCTTATGAAGTGTTTGCTGTCATTTCTGCATGTAAGGTGTAATTATCTCCTCTGCAGTGGCTGAGAGGGGTTTGTAAACTGCTGGCTGTGGCTGTCAGCTGGGGAGAGCTGTTCCTGGGTCACCAGCTCCTTGCCAGCCTTGCCCAGTGGCTCCGAGTCCTCTGCTCACCTCTCAGACTCTCAGCCAGAAAAATTGCTGCTCTTATGAAGTGTTTGCTGTCATTTCTGCATGTAAGGTGTAATTATCTCCTCTGCAGTGGCTGAGAGGGGTTTGTAAACTGCTGGCTGTGGCTGTCAGCTGGGGAGAGCTGTTCCTGGGTCACCAGCTCCTTGCCAGCCTTGCCCAGTGGCTCCGAGTCCTCTGCTCACCTCTCAGACTCTCAGCCAGAAAGGCTGAACTGCCAAGTTCCTG